AGCGAGCGAGCGAGCGAGCGAGCGCACCGCCAGGCCGGGCCGCCGGCTCCGCCCACCGCCGCCTTCCTGGAAGCCGGCGGCCCGACGGTTCCCACCTGCACAGCGCGCTAGACTACCCGCGCTCCTGACACGCGGGGACCCGCTCTGAGCCTCAGTTTCCACATCTGTGAAGCTGTCCTCAGGGGCAGGCGGTCGGAACAGAAATGAAATAACACGAGCGGGTGGGTCATAGACCTGCTCGCCATACGCTGCCCGCTGTCCAGAGCTGACCACCACCTCCACCGGCCTCTCCGTTTTTTAATCTTTATTTAGTTTTGGTGGAACCGGGGATTGAACCCAGGCGCTTATTCTACTGAGCTCTCTCCCTGGCCCCAGGCCTTTCCTCGTTGGTTGCAGGACTTTCATTTTGGTGGCAGAGGATTGAGCCCAGGACCTTCACGCTGAGCTCCGAGTCCGGACCTTTTTATTATGTATTTATTTCGTTTTGAGACAGTCTCTAAATTGACCGTGGCTGGGCACCAGCCTGTAATCTTCCCGCCCTCGCTGGCTGGAGCGCTGGGTTCAGGTGTGTGCCACCCACATCCCTGGCGAGGACACTGATTTTAACAGTCAGCTCTGTCGCTGTGCCCTGTATCCTGAGATTAGCTGGATAAGGGCAACTGACCAGACCTGAGGGTAGGCAGGTGAGAGGCTAGGCGCTCTGCTGCAGGGGCCGCCCAGGGCCAGAGGGGAGGAGCCGCAAGGCCTGGGAGAAATGTGTCTGCTCGCTGCTCTGAAGCTTAGGAGAGCCTCTTCTTCTTCTGCAACTCAGCGATGTCCTCAGGGAGTTCGGCCGCCCTGAGCTGCCGCAGAGACTGCCCTCCATCCCTGATTCAGCCCTTCCATGTACTTCCCTGACCACTGTCCCTCAACCCAAAAGACCCTCCCACAGAACAAGAGGTACCAGACCTATCGACCTGTGAAGGGTGGGGCGCTTGGGAAGAGGACCCTGCAGCACCTCCCCTGGCTATGGGCAGGTTCACCTCAGTGGACCTGGCTTCCGTGTGGAGCACTCAGAGTCGGCCAAAGCTGCCTTTGAAAGGGAGTGAGCTCGGGTGAAGACGTGTGTCAGAGAGCTCACGGCCTAGGACAGGGTGCCAGGAAGCGCTGCGAAGGCCAGAGGCACAGTTGGACTTGGAGTTCCCAAAACTCAGTTCTGGCTATAACCCTGAACAATATTTTTCCTTTAAACATCTCGTGTATTTTATTAAAAGGGTAAGTTTGTTTTGAAGGAGGTAATCTGGTATCAGTTATCATAGGTCTTCATAAAAATAGAGGAAACAAAGCAATATTAAGTTCTAGCCATATACTGCTGCCCGTTAAGACTGCACCCCAGGCGAGCCTCAGATCCCAGCAGGGACCCCACAGGATTCTTCCCTGGGCGCCTTCTTCCCCACAGGGGTGCCATGTTTCCCCAGGGGCAAATATTTCTGGCCTGCTAAGGAAAATGCAGGCCTAGTCCTGTCCTCAGAGGTTAACCTAGGCTTCTAGGCACCTGAGGGCATCTGTTTGTCCAGACACCTAGGCTCGGACTGCACCCTGTGCGCCAGGCCAGACTCCCAGGCCTCTGGGTCCCAGTGGGACACTGATGGAAGAGCTCTGGCGTTGCTTCCTCTGGAAGACCAGGCCAGCAGGAGGAGGCTACCACAGAGCCTGCAGCAGGTTGGAACGGGGGCAGGCTGATTACGTGTCCTGGAACATTCTGAACTCAGTAGGTTCTAGCCTGGTGCTGTTTTTTTTTTTTTTTT